TGATGGTCTAGGGCAGGGGTCGGAATTAGCGGCTCGCGAGCCGCATGCGGCTCTTTGCATAGACGTTTGCGGCTCTTCGGACATAAACTCCAATTTCATCTCACCTCATTTCACCGCAGCCTTATAACTTATGAGATAGAGCCGCCGAACAAACTTCGACTTGTTCTCCGTCCGCACATGGCCACACTCGCGTTGATCAATATGAGTCGCATAAGAGTGGTAGCATTTGAAGCATATCTATATAATAACCCATTGAACGCGTATCCGTCCATCCGTGTAACGTTATGCCGAAAACGGCCACTAGAGGCGCCTCTGTCGTGTGTAGTATTTCGCACATTTAAATTAATATGCGGCTCTCTGGTACTTTTGTTATCCTGTTTTCATGACAATTTGGATCTTCTCACTTGTCAAACTGCCGACCCCTGGGCTAGACCCACTATAAGGCGGCCAGTTGGTGAGGAACGGGGAGCCGCTGAATATTTTAAATTTTGGAATAAACTAAATCTTGGAAATAAATTTTATGAATACACTTAAATTTTTTATCGGCAATGCATTTAAGTTAATTTAAAAAGCATTATAGAATCCAATTTTTTAAATTATTCATATAATTTACATTATCGGAATGAATAATGATTGAAAGTGGAAGAGGGCGCTGCCGTAACGAGTAGTTCGTCTGCTTTCAAATTATGAAAATCACTTGCATTAAGCGTAATAGAAAATCGTTCTCCAATTAATGTAACATCTTCGAAAAAGGTGTGTATTTTTTTCTTTTTATTGCTTATTATAAATATCAAACGAACAGACGGATACTTTATCGGGCTATAAGGCTAAATGATAACTTGGCATCAGGCAGGCCACCAGGGCAGAAGATTCGGATTCGAGTCCAGTTTCGGGCTACTCTTTTCTTCCACAATATTCTAAATTTTAAATTAATTTATTTAATGTATTTAACAAGAAATGGCGGCCTGTCCCGTGCCAAATTGCGTAGTAATCGTCTAGCCCAGTGTTTCTCAATCTTTTTGGCCATGCCCCACCAAAGCATCTTTAAAATCCTGATGTGAAAAAAAAAACATAGCATCTTTGAATAAGAAAATAAAAGGAAAGGACAGTTCAAGTACTGAGTAAAAAATTCTCAAGAAATGGTTAATAATAATAATATGAAGCAATATGAAAAAACAGTAAAGTTCAGAATATATATATATATGACTATATATAGAACTGAAGTGAAAATGCAACAAATATTAATTATTTGCTCATCGACCCTAAAGCATTCAAATTGTCCCTTGGTGGGGCGTGCCTCCCATGTTGAGAAACACTTAGTTCAGCTGGATTAAGAATCGGGTTGTATTCATTATTTTATACTGTATATAAATAGCTTAATAGTTTAAGTTTAGGAATGGGATATTGTAAGAAACTTTTACATTTTAAAAATTGTAATATCCTATTTCTTTACTATTTTGCTGATATACATTATTCCCCACAGATACAAAAGTAAAGCCATACAGAAATTACTAAATTAAAAAGACACTGCACCTTAAAAACAGTGGCACATTATCCTGTATATATGGGCAAAAAGGTCAATTTGTCTGGGGCACCCACAAACCAATCTTTTTTTAACTCATTACTGTAGTAAGAATATCGAAATTTAAATCTAGGGCACTACATTGCTGGTGTGGCGCAAGAGCAGGATGCACCGGCACAATTCAGAATTTAATAAGCCAGAGGTCACTCTAAAAAACAAACGAAGACACTAAAAAAATTTGAAACAAACAGTGAATGGGACCCCTAATTCAATTTTCCCAGGCTCCATGAAGCTGTAATGTGACCCTGATTACAAATAAAATGTAAGCTTCCCAGACTCAATTTATTTAAACTCTCACATACAATATCTTATACTGTTTTTAATAAACTTACAGAATAAAACCCTTATATTTAAATAAAAAAATTATTGAGATTAGAGTTTTAGTAAAGTTTAATTAATAGCATGTATTTGTTTACTTCAAGCTGTGTTTGGGGTTAAAATATTCAAAGTTATTTTGAATTTTTAAAACATACTGTATTCCTAAATTAGACTTCAGAATGGATCCCTTCAGAATAGCAGATTTTGTAATTTGGCTGAGTAGGAACTCTTATGGTGGTCTGGATCCAGGATATATAAAAGCTAATCCACTGCAAATTACACTCCCTCATAATGGAAAAAATTTGAAGACTGCTATCTCACACCAACAAATCAAATAGTATTTTTTTTTAATAAGTGAGCCAAATCCAAGAAACTCAAAGGCAATTATCATGCTGGAAATGTTTCTAAATAAATACTTATTTTTGATTAAATTGTGTTTTTGGAAATGGGCCAGTTTCATAACAAAGATAATTGTTTGTATATTACAAAATAAATTCTTAGATGAGAACATTAAATGATTACTATCAACTTTTTAAGAAGGTTGCTGGTGAATTGGGATACAGACCAAAGGTCATTAATTGTATTAGGACAAATCCTATATCATTTAATTAGCAATTAAATTATTATTATAGGATTTATCTTAATTCAGGTAATCAATTTTAGGAATTAAAATTTCTAAATTATAATACTCGTAAGACATTTTAATCTGAGAAACCAAAACTTTAACTTTTCAAGTCAGTTCAGAATATTTAACATTACACACAATTCACATATATAACACTTTAATTAGATAGAAACAATTTTTAAATAGTTTCCATCTGGACATTTTAAAGATAAAAAACTTTTACATTCTAATTACATATTTTCTTTCTTCTTCTGCATAATTAATTAAAGTTAAATTAATCTGAATCACTTAGCATTCAATGGTGTTGAAATTCTTTTGTGTGTATGTTCTGTAAAAGGTGTCACTCCTCTGATTTTTTGTTTTATAGGCTCTACATAAATATCTGCAAACATCTCTTCCAATGGAATTTCTTTAGATGATTTTGCTACTTCTGTAGCTTCTTCAACTTCTTTACGAACATCCTGTTCAATTTTCTGTAGAAATAGAAACAAATATTTTTGTAAGTAAAATGTTTATTTTAATTAGGATCTAACCAAAAATTAAATTTATCTCTTAACACCCAGCTGCCAAATTGTAGGCTTGGCTAAGCTCATAGTAAGCATGTAACATACCTTATTTGCAGCAAAGGGTTTGCTAACAGAAAATTTTTCCTTAACAATTTTTTTTTGCTCAAATGGTGCATTAGCAACATTAGTGCAAAAACTGATCTTAAGATACCCATATGATATGGGATTCGTATCTTATTATATAGCCCAACACATGTTCCGCAGCCATCTTGTATTTTCTCGTGCTTGTGGGATTGTGGGATATCTCTTATAACTGGATCTAGTTTCAAGAACTCTCTTGAATCGATCGTGATTGAAACAGTCGATGGAGATCGTACCAAGGCGAATGGGGTATAAGGCTCTAGTTTAGTAGTGTTACAGAGTATAATACATATATTTTAATGTATTTTTGAAAACTTTGAAAATGTTAACAATGGGTTCAGCCAAACCTGTGCGAACCCGCTGAATATCACTACTGCTTATTTGTATCTGAAGGACAAAGAAAGCCTATAAAACAAACTTTGAAGTTTGTACACTATTGGTTTCTATATATTTTTTTATCAATTTTATATTTCTTTACTTTGTATATTGATGAATGATATGGTATTAAAGAAATGTCATAAATTTCAGCTAATATACTCTAAGTAACAATTTAAAAAATTAATAAATATAATGATTAAAAATTGTTTAAGAGTGACAACAATAAATAATAATAAATGTGTTTTCAGCCACAGCCACATATGTGATAGGACATATTCTTTACTCAACCCCTTCTATTTCTCATGCCAAATATTAAAAATAATGTTGACCCCCATTCTGAAGTTACTGGGAAAATAAACTGCAACATAACACATAATGCAATGTTTCTTCAGAATTTTCTTGGAGTAAAGAGTATTGTTTTGTTTTATTATCCTATACACTGTATATAATTTATATAATTTTTTTCTTGAACAAAACTTTTACTTGGTTATTTTAACATAATAAGATCTCAAAACATATCTCATCAAAATAAAAGTAACTTAGTTGACAAAATTAGTTGAAGGAATAGCAGATTGATGTTGCAGAGAAGTTCACATTGGGTTAGTCACACTGGGTTTTAGTCTAGATCAAAGTTTAAATTACAAAAATTCTCTGTTAATTTCAGATCAGTGACATAACTATCATTTGTGCAACCTGTGCAGTTGTATAGGGGTCCAAAGCAACTAGGACCCTCAACCTCTCACATTACTAGCAAAATTGTTTTATTATCAATACATAAGATAATTATACTCACAATAGTGCTTAATTGACCAATGTTAAGTGTTAATTGGAGTGAACACACTGATTTCCTTGAAAAATGTGGTAATTTACATTGGATCCATTGTTTGCACATGATAACAATTGAAGACTTGAATATCCAGAACAAAAAATTGTACTCTATTTTCAACTGCAGCTGATGAAAATCAGAAGCAATTCAAAAGTGACCAACCAGAATCAATACATTTGGTACATAACAAGATGTCTGCATCCATATTTTAACGGGCAAAAGTTGGTCTGTGATAGAAATAGAAAGGAAATAACCAGTGGTGATATTCGAAATATTTAACAAAGGGTTCGCTAACAAAATTTTTCCTTAACATTTTTTTTATTTTTATTTGCTCAAATGGTGCATCAGCAAAATTAGCGCAAAAACTGACCTTAAGATACCCATATAAACAAAAAAGATGCATTCACCAAATTAAGCCAGTTAAAATTTAACATTGTTTATGCCAGAGCTATATTTTTTTTTTATAAATAATAAAAAAGTGTTCAAAATGGTTTGTTTTGTATATATGTATTTTATTACGACACGTGTTCCGCAGCCATCTTGTATTTTCTCGCGCGCGTGGGATTGTGGGATCTCTCTTATGACTGGATTTAGTTCAAGAACTCTCTTGAGTGGATCGCGATTGAACCTCGTTTCAGTCGAGATTGAAACGGTCGAGGGAGGTCGTACTAAGGTGAACGTGGTATAAGGCTCTAGTTTAGTAGTGTTACAGAGTGTAATACGTATATTTTAATATACTTTTTAAAAGAAACAAAACCACTGAGAAATGTTACATGTGTTCAACAAGGTTCGGAAAACTTTGAAAATGTTAACAACGGGTTCGGCCGAACCTGTGTGAACCCGCTGAATATCACCCTGGAAATAACTAATTGTAAGAATAAGAATATTGTACCCAACTGAAGAGGGATGAATGTATACATCCAAAATGCATATTAGAGTAAATAAAATTGAAATGATAAAACAGTCACCCTAAAATCATTTGTGGTCATGATAATTAACAGCCAATTGAAAAAATATGTAATTGTGTTTTATATAAGTTAGTTTATATATATAATAAAAGTTGTGTTGATTTTAAATAAATTCTTATAAAGATTATCTGGATGTCAACAATGTAGAAATTCTCAATAGAATATATTAGTAAATGTTTCTAAACAATTACTGAAGACTGCTACATTAAAAGAAAATAAGTAAAATTAGAAACTTAGAATTAATAGTTATAGATAATGCAATTTTCCTAATTCCTTAAGTTATGTATTGAAATAATGAAATACGAATATTACCTGTATTTGATAAAAATGTTAATACAAAATATATAGTTAGTAGACAGATAAAAAATACACTACCTTTAATTCCTCACTGGTGACAAGATTGGCAGTAATTATTTTTTCTCTAAAAGAAGTGATCGGATCACGAGTTTGTCTCACTTCTTGAATTTCTTCTCTGGTTCGATAACTATTAAAATGTAAAATATTTTGACACATGAATTATTTTCTTTTTATTATAATATATTATTACATCATCAAATAAATAATATAATTAATATGAATTAAGTAAAAAATAAAATTAATGAACATAAAATTGTTGTATATTCATTTAAAAATGACAAAGTTAGATTTTATCATTTAATATTACAAACACATTAAATGGTTCTTAGTTTTTATTTATTATTTTAATAATTATTTATTGACTTTTTAATTTGAACATTTTCATTAAATTGTCTCATTTGTTTGCTAAAAAGAAATTTCTGCCAATTTTAAATCAAATCAGGATTTTAAATATAACAGATATTAATTTAATATGTTCCACCTGGTTCCAGGATCACTCATACTGTGACCGTGGTAACGGTAAGTTGCAACTTCCATGACTAGCGGACCCTTTCCAGATCTACATAACTCTGCACCAAAGAAAGTTGCTTCTCTTACAGCTAAAATATCCATACCATCTACCTGTAATATAAGTATTGAAATAAAATAATGGAAATAAATTAATATTAATTAAAATCAAGTTTTAATTAATATTATAATAAATTAAACAATTCGTTAATTTATCAAAACATTAATCAATCAAACTAAAATATATTATTTAATTTCTAATTTGAAATTACATAGTTGAGTAAATAAGCCTTTGGATTCACATATATGGAGAAATAGAAAACTTTTCAATAATAAAAGGCATCATTATATACATTTACTTTTCAATATACAAGTCAGTTTGTTCTACACACTTTCTCCAGTGGTAGACAATATCTTCAATTGCCTTTTGAAGAATGTTGAAGAAAGGTTGCTCAGAAATTTGGCCACTTTTTCCTTCACTTCAACCGACAAGAAGTGTTGTCCAACCAGGTGTATTTCAACTCTCAAAAAAAGTAAAATCACTAGAAGAGAGATCAAGACTGTTTAGGTGTGGAAGTTCTTAAAATCACATTATTCAACTGTCACTTTTGTGACAGTGTGAAAGGGTGCATTGCTGTGAACGAAAAACAAAAAGAACTCCTTTTCATTTCCTATGCAGTTTGCAGACCTTACTAGTTTCAAGTAGCAGATGCTGTTCAAAACTGAAGGAAGTGACCAAATTTTTGAGCAGTCTTCCTCTAGCATTCATCAAAAGGCATTTGAAGATCTTGTCTGCCATTGGAGAAAGTGTGTAGAGCAAAATGACTCGTATGTTGAAAAATAAATGTATATAATAATGCTTTTTATTAGTAAAAGTTTAATAGTTTTCTGTTTCTCCATCCATGAGTCCAAATATTTAATGACTCAACTACATATAAACTTTAAATACTAATTAAACATTCAAAATGGCAAAGTGTTAAAGTTAAAAAATTCAAATAATAATTTCATCAAAATGATTTTATTTGAATTCAAACTACTTTTTGAGTAAAAAGTTTTTTTAGAAATGTAAGCATTTCTAAAAAAACTTTATTTAGAAATAAAGTTTTATTTTATTTTATTTCTAAAATAAAATAAAATAACATCAATAAAATAAAATCAACGTGTAACATCAAAACTTTATTTTGTTGTTACATGTTTGTATTGCAAAGAAAGCAGATATAAAGATGCACTTGTTTTATGTATTTACATTCAAGTATGAAATGCTGTTAGTTATTATTATTATCTGGTGCCTTCTTACATCAATCCTTTCACTTGTTCAATGATGAGTTTATATTCCAACAATACTTAAATAGTTCAAAGTAACTTCAACTAAAGCAGTTTGAAGAGCTGAGTTAGTTGAAGCAAATATTCTGTTACAATGAAATGTCAGCATGCAATACATAACATGATATAAATAACTTAGTCATAATGCAATTGAGTTCACATAAATATGTAAATACGGTAGAGCGTCGTTTATCCGAAAGAATTCCAGTCGGCAAATTTAAATTTTCGCTAGTGCTGTGGCACTGCAATCTTTGGTTATATCCAATGGCTACTCCAATATTTTTTATGTTTGTGTATGTGTTTTAGCTGGCAGCACTGTCACTTTTGTATAGTGTTTTTCTGAGGACTGTATCATGCTGAATCGAACGTTTTTGATACTAGATAACTTCTAAAGTATAAATTTTTTTTGTTTTTATATTTTTCAATATATTTATTTTGTTTGTAAAAAAGAAAGAAATAATTTTTAACGATACAATAGCCACTATTATTATTTTAAAAAGTTTACATTAGGCTTAACATTGACGAAAATTCAACGCGAAGCGACACACAACGGAGAAAAATTTCAACAAGGGATAGGTTAATGTATTTTTTCGTACATAATCAGTTATCCGAAAAATAAGTTATCCGAACAACCCCAGTCCCCAATTGGTTCGGATAAACGATGCTCTACTGTATTTAATTTAAATATCATCAGACACTGTTATTGATCTGTGTTTCTGTCTAAATCTCAATCGGAAATTGAAATCTAGATAGTAAATATTTTAAGCGGAACATTAAAAAGTTCTATAATTATTGTTATCATGATAATTTCAATTAACATGTCTTGAAAAATTTCATACTAAAATTATTTAAATGCCATTTATTTACTTTATATAAATGTTCAGACACTCATGAAAGCTTTAAAACAACAAAAACAATTTAATTACAAACACTTTCGGTCATTTTTAAAGACCATCCTCAGGTAGAATACAAAATCAAATTTAGCAAAAATTATCTGTTATATTCTATTTTCACTAACTTGTAAGTTTGATTTGTATTCTACCTGAGGATGTTGTTTAAAAATAATTGAAAACATTCAGAATTACAGTCGACCCCCCCTATAACAGTGTTGATTATTCCGTTTTATATGAATTCCATGTTGTATGAGTCACTTAGATTTTACAAATACGTTTGCCGGGCTGTGAATGACTCACGTATTTGTAAAATCTAAGTGACTCGTACAACATGGAATTCATATAAAACGGAATAATAAACAGTGTTATGGGGGCATCAACTGTAAATTGTTTTTGCTGTTTTTAAAGGTTTCATCACACGTGTCTGAATTTCCATATTCACAGTTTCTATTTTTAAAATAAATGTTAAGAGTAGCATGCAAAATTTGGGTAATATTGAGATTACCCAGGTAATGTCAACCTTATTCAAGTCAGGTGAACATCAAAATATGAAAGAAAGAATTTAATTTTAAACTCTATCAACCTCGACACTATCCACCAAGGTTCAGATAATGTTATATATTGCAAATTTCAACAAAAACACAAAAAGAGAAACAATTACTTTATTTAAGTCAAATATTTTTAAAATCAATTAAATTATTATCAGCAATTATTTTGTTCAATGTTGAAAACAACAACGAATTTAAAAAAATCCCCTCATTTAAAGTTAATGTAACACTATTTTTTTGAATCAAGACTTGAATGTCATTTACTAATTCAAAAAATTCCTGAATCTTTGCATTTACACTGTTTTGATTTGCACGTAGCCTTGCAAAAGCATTTCTTGAATCTCTGACTTGAAAAGTAATTATATATTACTAATTTCTCGAAGTGTGAAGTGAATAAAATTCACTTGACACTTGACATTATTCAAACTACTAAAAAAAACATAACTAACTTACCCAAATACCTGGTATGTAATCACCTCTAGTATAATAATCCGTGGAAGCTGCAGCCCTATCAGCACTCGTTCCCATTCCATAACCATTATTTTCACATATAAATATTACAGGGAGATTCCATAATTTAGCAATATTATACGCTTCAAAAACTTGGCCTTGATTTGCAGCACCATCTCCATATAATGCAAGGCATATGTCATCTTTATCAAGATATTTTAAACCAAATGCAATTCCTGCACCTAATGGTACCTAAGAATACAATGCATGTTTTAAATTATGAAATTATTTACAAATTACCAAATATCAAGTATTAAATTTCAAATTTTATTAAAAAATCAGGTATAAATATATCAATGTTATAGGTGCAACATTATAAATTCTTTAGTGTGCTATGATGAAAATTGCAACAATAGCATAAATGATATTGAAATGTAAAAATAGGCAACATCTAATGCTTTATTATGGTTTAATAGAAATACTCTCAATCGTTTCTAAAGTAATTCAAAAAATCTGCATTTTGATATTAGATAAAATTTGAAACAGATATAATATTACACAAAAATTAGAAAACAAAATTTCAATAAATGTAGTTTCAAGAATATTTTTTTTTTAAACTCTCTCCATCTTGTAGGCATTAAGAGAGTCTTTCCTTCCAAAAAGAATGCTAACATTTTAAATTATTGTATTTATGTTAATTTGGTTAATTATTATCCAAGAACTCAAATGATTCCTATGCTCATTTTAGCACATCCATTGTCACTCTTCCCATGGCAGCCACAATTCTATGGCTCCCATAGGTTACTCATATTGTCCAATGGCAAGTGATTCAGACTATGCAAACTGCAGAACACAAAAAGCCTTCTCTGTTATGGAGTTGTCATTTTCATTTACAGAGCTTCCTAGAAGTAGTGGACAACAAGATGTTCAAATGCAGATGGGAGATGAAACTCAGATGGTTACTGTATTAATTGGTGTATGTTGTTTACTTCTCAGATAATAATTAACACAATTATACAATTACAATAATTTTAAAATGTAGCATTCATTCTGAAGATCCTGTATATCTTAGATTCATTCAGGCCAATGAAGTAGTCAGGTGGTGAGGGGAGGCCCAATATAGCCAAGTCAGACCATCTGTGAAAATTTTTGTGGGTTTGCCATTTTGGGTCCCGGATCTCCAAAACAGCAGTCTAAAATGTTTACAGCCTCAGCCAACAGGCTGACAATTTAATTTTTGATCATACCCACATTTTTTCAAAAAATATCAAACCTCATATTATGCTCAAATTATGATTAACTTTTAAACTTATAATTATGAATTCTCTCTCCTTTCAAAAGTTGAATAAACTATTCATATAAAACTAACTAAAACTAGTGAAATATTTTTGTAATCAAGGAATTTAATAATACATCATAAAAACTGAACTCACCTGAGCACCTACAATTCCATTTCCTCCAAAGAAGTTAGATGAATACATATGCATTGAGCCTCCTTTACCTCTGGCACATCCTGCTTCTCGTCCTTAAAGTGTGTGAACAAATGGTTAAGTTTTTATTTTAAAATATTTGAATACTTCATTTAAGATTGTAAGATTGTAATTAGAGCAAAGCAAATTTCAGTGTGAAAAAACACGGTGGTCTTAGAATTAGAGAAAATACACTTCAACATTATAAGAATAGTTAAAACTGTTCAGAAAAACTTATATAATATTAACTAACACTTTGGTAATCCCATATTTATTGACATTGAAAAATAAATTGATTAATCTATTATAATTAATTATGTATTAATAATGTATAACTAATTATACTAAACTTTATTAAGGTAAACGCACCGGTAGTGGACACTTTAAGGAAAATTTTTCGACTTTTTTGAAACTGGACCCCTATTTAGAAGCCTTATGGCTTAAAAGTTATATTGTCTGTTAGACAAAATCTTTCTTCACTCACTGTAAGGATTTTAATTATGTCAATCTCGTCGAATACATTTTAATTTAATTTATTTTGTAAGGTTGAAAATGTTTCAGTAGTGGACATTGAAAAAATTGAGATATTTAGTAATGGACAGGCATTTGTACCAGTAGTGGACAAGGAATATAGAGATGATTATATTCAAGATGAAATCGTTTTTATTTTTCACAACTTGCAGAATTTGACAGTCTTTACTATAAAGAACAAGAACACTGTTAATTATAATGACAACTCATAATTTAATTAAATTAATTAAAATATCAAATTGTACAAATGTAAATTACATGTGTATAGTTTGTAATGTTTATATGAAAATTGAAATGTTTTATATTTATGTTTCATAATACTTATTAGTATTATGAAACATAAATATAAAACATTACAAAGTTAGTATAAGAAACTTTCTTATTTTGTTATTGTTACATTATTCTTAACGAATACAAATGTTGAAATAAATAAGATCAGTTTTAACATACTGGAATGGATTATTGTTACACTCAATATTAAACACTTAAAAATAATAGTATAAAACTGGGTTCTAAGTTACATTTAGGAGAACTCAAATATTAACGTCAGCATAGTTTAAGGAAATATTGTTGCATTGTTAATTTGTGTTGAACTACTTATCTATGTCAATGCCTTTCGAGAATTGACAGTGACTCTCTCTTCCAAAAATTAGAGGCTTAGGAAGCCTCAAGTCAATTTGAGAAATATTTATCGTTTGTACATCTTTTTCATTTTTAGCAAATACGCTTTTCATCCTATTTATGGAATTAAACACAATCACTTCTGCGATATTATCACTGATTAAACTGGTAATTTTGCACACACATTTGTACTTTCTTTTCTTACTAGACAAGGTGGCAACTACAAAATCATTCTCATGCAGGATTGATTCCCTTTCCTTTTCAATGGTATTCCGACTGTGTCTTTCGGACATATCCTTCCTCCGAGTCCAATTTAAAGTTCCTTCAATACTTTCTCCCCTTTCTTCTGTATATTTCGATTCCTTAATTGCTGAACTTGGTCAATTGTTTCGTTTGAAGGAGGTTCAATATTTTCCTGAAACTGCATAATGTCGTCTTCTTCTTCTTCATCTTCCATAGTGTCTTCTACATCTAACGTAACATCGTTTGTACTACCACCATCCGAGGGAATCCAAGAACCTTCATCTTCTGATGATGTCTCTTCCTTTCTCATTTTCTTCTTTCGTTGCTTTGTAGTCTTCATTTTCATTTTCATAGCTTTCTCTTCAGCTTTCCTTTTATTCTCAGCAGTCTGTTCTTCCTTCTTTCTCTGTCTTGCCAAAGCTCTCTCCCTTTTCAGTTCTAGTTCCACTATTTTCTTCTTTTCCTTATTTTCATAATATTCCTGCCAAGCTTTTGACGTAACTACAGAAGGTATGATTTCCTTTTTCTTCCTTTTGTTAGTGATTTCCCTGGGTTCTGGCCAGAGAAGTGACCTTTTGAAAGGACTAGGTACTGTTTCAGAGATCTGACTGTTATTGCGGCTATTGTGTGTACTTGTGGCAACAATGGTATTGCCAGTGTTTGAAGTACTAGGTCTTTCATTTTGATAGTGGTAGTCATTATGAATATCATGAATATATGAATCACTGAATGCACTGGTGTTACTGACATCATTTATCTCATGGTTGCGATTGATTTGAGCAGTTTCAACCGTCGAATCTTCATGTTCTGATTCATTATTGTTGAAGGATTTGCTGTTGTTTCCAGCTGTTACTTGATTCATGATGTCTGTCTTCATCTGGTGCCATAAATTGAACAGGGACTTGTCTGTAGCCTCAACATCTTCAAAAGAAACTACAGTCTCAAATAACCCCACTTTCTCAGGTCCCATGTATATTTTTAATGTTTCAAAACCAACTCTTACATCACTTTTCGTGAGAGTACTGTCTGACTTCTTCTTGCACATTATTTTCCTACTTAGCATACCGGGTGCTGTAGGATCCCATGGCACCAAACCATGTTTTGTCCACTATTGAAACACCTCATTTCAATAAACGGACATTCACGGTTTAATAGTGAACACCCCCTGTCCATGACTAGACAGAGTAACCAAAAAATGCTTGAATCAATACTGTATGTTACTTAACATTAGGTGATTTAATTTTTGACTTGATACTGATTAAAAGTGAAAAGTTCATTTTCACTAGTTGTGGCCACCTCTTGTCCACTACTAAAAATATACAATATTTTTGTTTCATTAGTGGACATCTCATTCAATTGACTTGGAAAATAAAAATACTATCAGGAAGGTCTTAAAACATACCAACGAAGCTCATATTAATAGTATATCACCAAAAAACTTCCGTGAAACTAACTGTTAATACAGCAAGCGTGATTTAAATTACCTAGACCTTAAGGAAACAGACAGCAGACTCACTTGTCTTCTTATATCAGCAGGAATGCCATCACTAATGAGCGCGGGAAAACATCCCATGATGGACTAGAAAAGGATCAGTGCGAGTTACCACTACTAGAGGGTTCTGTCTACTGAATGATTTGTATGTTTGAACAGTGAAGCCATCAACAACCTTATTACTCATATTTGAAGTTCAAAGTGTCCACTACTAACACAGTGTCCACTACCGGTGCGTTTACCTTAAATCTCTCATTGATAAACTCATAGTAAAGTATTATTATTATAATAATATATTTATGCCTTTCAATAAACAATAAAAACACATCATTAAATTAATTTAACAATTTAGTTTCTAATATCTTAGAAAAATTTTTAAGTATTAAAATTAATATAAAAACAGTTTATATAAATATAATTACTTTAATCCTAATTAAGACAAGCTATGAATATGAAATGAAAAACATTTTCTTGATATTCAAATAAGCATTTGATATCAATTTCATACCTGTTAATTCTGCTAATACACTTTTTACACTAACTCCTCGTACGTACGTCCAACCGTGAGCCCTATAGGCAGTAATCACCGCATCAGTTTTCCGTAAAGCTGCTTCCATACCGACAGCACAAGCTTCCTACATTTATATTAAAAAATTTTACATGAAATATTTTATAACAACTTATCATTCTTGATTGAAATTAAATAAATAACTTATTAAAATTAAGCAAAACAAACATAGGATTTTTAACAATGCTGGATAAAATAATCACTCGGTTCCAAAGTATTTTTGTATATTAAACTAAACACAGACTCAAAAATTTGTAATACTAAAATATTACATATATTTTATATAAAAAAAACTTGTAGCAGAGTAAATATTTATATTAATTATGAATTGTTTAAAACATTTTATGTTGAATACACTGTGCAAGCATGGCAGTCCAGGAGGAGAACAAGAAGAGCAAATGTTGAAAACCATATTTTCAAGGAACACATAACAGGAGATTCAGTACAGAAGATTCTGAGGAAAGAAAAAAAACTGATGCAAACTAGTCAAGTTTTAAAGTTTGGAATCATTGAATTTGTACAGTTATCACAGACACTACTTTCATAATAAGTAAACAAATTCAATATGAACTCTGTACATCCATGTATGCTAAACTAAGAAAACTGAAGATTGATTAAAGACTGAATTATGTTTTTAAAGTATGTTGAAAATGAAATAAAGGTTGGATACATAATTTATTATTTTCAGATAAATGATCCAACCTTTGATTTTAAGTTTCTATCCAAAAATAACTCAACTTTATGAACTGATTTTAAGAGTATCAATGAAAATTTTAAGCCAATTTCCCACATTTAGTATTTACCAAATGCTGAGCAAATATTTTGCCAGTGCTGTGTGGATGATTTACTCATAACTACTTGGTATTCTATAATACAATGGAACTCCAATTATCTGAATGCCAATTAATGGAATGTCCAATTATCCGAACCATCACTTGTCCTCTTTTCTCTCTCCCACTGACATGACACTTCCTTTTTCTTACATCGTGCGACTGCATGTTCAGTGATGCCTATTTGAAGCAACAGATCCAAAAGATCAGTAAGATGTTACTTGCATATTGATGAATAAATATAGTATGTGTACAATTTTGTGCTGTTATCCTGTACATTTTATTCTTTGTGTGTTAATCCACTTATCTGAATTTTGATTATCTGAATCAATTTGGATAATTGGAGTTCTATCATATTTGGTATTTATAATAATAATTTACCTGTCCTGAATATAAATGACAAAATCCTCTAATGGTTTTTTCTTTGTACATATTATTGGCTGCAGCTTCCAAGCGACGAATCATCATCATCTGTTTATAATAATGGAGGGCGTCGTCCCGGGTGACAGTGACCTCCGTGGAAGGACCATTTTCAAGAAGATGCAATTTGAATGGCTATTAAAAGGTATGGTGAAATTATCATCTTAAATACCTCTTATATTAAATTTAAAATATAATATACCTTAGTTTGGAAAGTAGCTTCCGTTGAATATGCACAAGGTAATCCAACATGTCTCTGAAAAACATTTTCAGAAAATTAGATATCATTTCATACTAAAGATAACAAACAAATTGCATTACAATGAAACTAGGCTTGATTATTACAGTAGTAAGTAAAGCATTTTAAAAAATTATTGGCCTAATAAACCAATGGCAAAATGAAAATCTCAGCCAGTAGCCATTCACATCGGTACAAATGCAGCTCCAAATGAGACAGTCGGGAACTTTTTGGAGCCGTAGACCACGCCCACGGGAATAAAAGTATCAAAGGAACCGAAGGTCTACACATACAAGGTACCAACCTGCCTCACTCAGAACTGCATCTGTATCCCTTAATCCTAGCAAGTCATCAGTCACCATATATATGTTGATGTGTTGATATATAAATATCAGCACATCAACAAATGCATAGAGACACGTTAACATATTTATTCAATAAAATAAGTCCTTAAATAAATTTATAATCTTCATATGTCGATTTAAAAATCAGTGCATTTTATCAGTTTTTATAGTTGTTTAGCAAGGAGGAAAAAGTAAAGTATGACTTTGTATGCTACTGCACCGGTCACGTAGCTTTAAGTTTTTATTTATTCGATTATATAAGCCCCGATCATTAATATAAACGAGAAATATCTCTATAAACAAGTAATTTCGTAATTTCGAGCAGTTTAAAAGTTTCCTTCGGAGTGACCTTTGCAACAAGGTTAAAGAAAAATGCGCAGATTACTGTAAAACAATTGCGAATTTCGCTGGATCTTACCACAAAGCCGAAAGAAGTATTATTGAAAATCCTGGTGCAGAAACGAATAGCCATATCGCTCTCACCTTCAGGATTTTCTCAATGAAAAATTACAACACTCCGGGGCTATACTATAGAAAGCGCCCTCTCTTACCGTATTATTTCGATAAAAGTGACGTCACTTTAAGGCATACCTTTACAATTTGCAATCGGATTATTTTTAAATTATAATAATGTAAATTGTCTATAGCTAATTTTAAAATTTAAAAAAATTATCAGTATCATTTCATACAACATAAAAATTTGCTTATTTTAATGTTTTTGTAAATTTTCTATTGTAGCTTTTTCTTTTAATTCTTTCCCCCTGTTGGCACCAAGAGGACCTTTTTAGCACGTCTGTTATGGGTTCGGTCAGGCCTACAATGGGATAGGATCCGACATATCCGGACGAACCACCCCCAAAAAATATTTTCTCTGTAATTTTTCGACCCGTCTGGACGATGGATTGCCACCTTAAACGTTGCGTGCTAGTTTGATAATTTAATCTTTGAACTTTTACACATATACGGTTATAACTTTAAAATTTCAAATGATATCTATGTTGGGGCTTCGGGTTGTTTTATTCGGTTGGCTATCGTGGGAATGCTTTCCGGGATATCTTTCATTGAAACTGGCCCCTTAATTAGATATTATAGCGAGTTCAACACTGCTTTCCTGTAAGCCTAGAAGTTTGACAATGGTGTTTGGAATGTCGAGCATAATTCCACTGACTATCCAAACACCATTGTCAAACTTCTAAGCTTATAGGAAAGCGGTGATGAACGTCCGACGTACACGTTTTCGCGTTTAAAACTTCGGCATCAACCTCGCTATTACTAACGTGAAGAAACCTGGCAAACTCTACGTGGCCGACCCGTTAGCCAGGCGCGAACCCACGACCAACTACCGACGTTCGGTGGTTTAATCCACTCGGCCATTAATGAGCACCTATCTTCTGCCACGTTGTTTTAATGGACTTTTGATGCTGAATCTAACGGTGGAATCGGCGTCTGACTGGCAAGAAATTTCGCTCTGGCAAAATATAACAAATATAGACCCATATATGTGGGCCTATACGGGAACGCCCTGTCTGTGACTGGGTGGAATTATATTTGAAATCGAAACAAAACATTCAGAGACTATACCAAAAAATCCTTATCTAGTAGATTCTGTTAAAATTGGAAACAGCAATGTTTTCAGTGAAATTTTTTGTAATAATACAATGCTTTAGGTAAACATTGGAAATTGTGTTTATCACGAGGCTCTCCAATGAGACTCATTTTGTTTCAGAGTGATTCGTATTGAAAAACAGTCAGATATTAAAATAAAAATGCCTCAAAATAGTGTTTAGATTCAATCTCTCGTGAACAGTTTTAATACAATAGTTTCATCTTTTTCCATTCTCTAATTTCATAATTTTCTGTGAAATTTCATTTTCTAAGAAAACTGAATGAAAAATAAACTGTTGTATTAAAATTGTTTATTTACGATTAAATCTAAACATTATTTCAAGTTTCTTAATTAATGAACAACGCACTTTTTTCTTCAACGAAGTGTGATAAAAGCATATTACTAAAGTGTGACTTTATGTCTTCAACCGTAAAAACAAAAACTGTATCAATTAATACTGGATATATTTCAAATGATAAAAGTAAAGAGGAATTGAGAATATCATAGGTAGAAATTTGCATACTACATAACATAATTATGTCATTAGCACAAAATTTCGTCCTACTCTTAATGGCTTAATCATCAGACGGAGTTCGGTACGCGATAATATGAATTATATTTCGACTGTCTTCTATAAAAATCCAACGTACTTATGTTTCGATATTGATATCAGTATCATTTCATTCAATATATATATATATATTTCAGCATTTCACTTAGGAAGCAAATGTGTTCGGATATCAAATTACNAATAAACTCCAATTTCATCTCACCTCATTTCACCGCAGCCTTATAACTTATGAGTTTAACTTATGAGATAGAGCCGCCGAACAAACTTCGACTTGTTCTCCGTCCGCACATGGCCACACTCGCGTTGATCAATATGAGTCGCATAAGAGTGGTAGCATTTGAAGCATATCTATATAATAACCCATTGAACGCGTATCCGTCCATCCGTGTAACGTTATGCCGAAAACGGCCACTAGAGGCGCCTCTGTCGTGTGTAAGATTTCGCACATTTAAATTAATATGCGGCTCTCTGGTACTTTTGTTATCCTGTTTTCATGACAATTTGGATCTTCTCACTTGTCAAACTGCCGACCCCTGGGCTAGACCCACTATAAGGCGGCCAGTTGGTGAGGAACGGGGAGCCGCTGAATATTTTAAATTTTGGAATAAACTAAATCTTGGAAATAAATTTTATGAATACACTTAAATTTTTTATCGGCAATGCATTTAAGTTAATTTAAAAAGCATTATAGAATCCAATTTTTTAAATTATTCATATAATTTACATTATCGGAATGAATAATGATTGAAAGTGGAAGAGGGCGCTGCCGTAACGAGTAGTTCGTCTGCTTTCAAATTATGAAAATCACTTGCATTAAGCGTAATAGAAAATCGTTCTCCAATTAATGTAACATCTTCGAAAAAGGTGTGTATTTTTTTCTTTTTATTGCTTATTATAAATATCAAACGAACAGACGGATACTTTATCGGGCTATAAGGCTAAATGATAACTTGGCATCAGGCAGGCCACCAGGGCAGAAGATTCGGATTCGAGTCCAGTTTCGGGCTACTCTTTTCTTCCACAATATTCTAAATTTTAAATTAATTTATTTAATGTATTTAACAAGAAATGGCGGCCTGTCCCGTGCCAAATTGCGTAGTAATCGTCTAGCCCAGTGTTTCTCAATCTTTTTGGCCATGCCCCACCAAAGCATCTTTAAAATCCTGATGTGAAAAAAAAAACATAGCATCTTTGAATAAGAAAATAAAAGGAAAGGACAGTTCAAGTACTGAGTAAAAAATTCTCAAGAAATGGTTAATAATAATAATATGAAGCAATATGAAAAAACAGTAAAGTTCAGAATATATATATATATGACTATATATAGAACTGAAGTGAAAATGCAAAAAATATTAATTATTTGCTCATCGACCCTAAAGCATTCAAATTGTCCCTTGGTGGGGCGTGCCTCCCATGTTGAGAAACACTTAGTTCAGCTGGATTAAGAATCGGGTTGTATTCATTATTTTATACTGTATATAAATAGCTTAATAGTTTAAGTTTAGGAATGGGATATTGTAAGAAACTTTTACATTTTAAAAATTGTAATATCCTATTTCTTTACTATTTTGCTGATATACATTATTCCCCACAGATACAAAAGTACCAAAGCCATACAGAAATTACTAAATTAAAAAGACACTGCACCTTAAAAACAGTGGCACATTATCCTGTATATATGGGCAAAAAGGTCAATTTGTCTGGGGCACCCACAAACCAATCTTTTTTTAACTCATTACTGTAGTAAGAATATCGAAATTTAAATCTAGGGCACTACATTGCTGGTGTGGCGCAAGAGCAGGATGCACCGGCACAATTCAGAATTTAATAAGCCAGAGGTCACTCTAAAAAACAAACGAAGACACTAAAAAAATTTGAAACAAACAGTGAATGGGACCCCTAATTCAATTTTCCCAGGCTCCATGAAGCTGTAATGTGACCCTGATTACAAATAAAATGTAAGCTTCCCAGACTCAATTTATTTAAACTCTCACATACAATATCTTATACTGTTTTTAATAAACTTACAGAATAAAACCCTTATATTTAAATAAAAAAATTATTGAGATTAGAGTTTTAGTAAAGTTTAATTAATAGCATGTATTTGTTTACTTCAAGCTGTGTTTGGGGTTAAAATATTCAAAGTTATTTTGAATTTTTAAAACATACTGTATTCCTAAATTAGACTTCAGAATGGATCCCTTCAGAATAGCAGATTTTGCAATTTGGCTGAGTAGGAACTCTTACGGTGGTCTGGATCCAGGATATATAAAAGCTAATCCACTGCAAATTACACTCCCTCATAATGGAAAAAATTTGAAGACTGCTATCTCACACCAACAAATCAAATAGTATTTTTTTTTAATAAGTGAGCCAAATCCAAGAAACTCAAAGGCAATTATCATGCTGGAAATGTTTCTAAATAAATACTTATTTTTGATTAAATTGTGTTTTTGGAAATGGGCCAGTTTCATAACAAAGATAATTGTTTGTATATTACGAAATAAATTCTTAGATGAGAACATTAAATGATTACTATCAACTTTTTAAGAAGGTTGCTGGTGAATTGGGATACAGACCAAAGGTCATTAATTGTATTAGGACAAATCCTATATCATTTAATTAGCAATTAAATTATTATTATAGGATTTATCTTAATTCAGGTAATCAATTTTAGGAATTAAAATTTCTAAATTATAATACTCGTAAGACATTTTAATCTGAGAAACCAAAACTTTAACTTTTCAAGTCAGTTCAGAATATTTAACATTACACACAATTCACATATATAACACTTTAATTAGATAGAAACAATTTTTAAATAGTTTCCATCTGGACATTTTAAAGATAAAAAACTTTTACATTCTAATTACATATTTTCTTTCTTCTTCTGCATAATTAATTAAAGTTAAATTAATCTGAATCACTTAGCATTCAATGGTGTTGAAATTCTTTTGTGTGTATGTTCTGTAAAAGGTGTCACTCCTCTGATTTTTTGTTTTATAGGCTCTACATAAATATCTGCAAACATCTCTTCCAATGGAATTTCTTTAGATGATTTTGCTACTTCTGTAGCTTCTTCAACTTCTTTACGAACATCCTGTTCAATTTTCTGTAGAAATAGAAACAAATATTTTTGTAAGTAAAATGTTTATTTTAATTAGGATCTAACCAAAAATTAAATTTATCTCTTAACACCCAGCTGCCAAATTGTAGGCTTGGCTAAGCTCATAGTAAGCATGTAACATACCTTATTTGCAGCAAAGGGTTTGCTAACAGAAAATTTTTCCTTAACAATTTTTTTTTGCTCAAATGGTGCATTAGCAACATTAGTGCAAAAACTGATCTTAAGATACCCATATGATATGGGATTCGTATCTTA